ATATATATATATATAGACCGGATCCTTACGTAATTACACTTCTTTTTTACTTTCTATATTCTGTTCTCAAAATTCTGGAATTTGCGATTCGCTATAATCTAACACAATATCCAATTTTTTCGATATATATTTATACACTTGTTTTTCTATTTTAAATATTTCGCAAAACGTGTTATTCTACAAAATTCTTGAAATTTATTTCTAAAAAAAAAAAATAATAAATCCTCAAAAATTTCTTTTATTTTAAAAAACTCCACCTTTTTTCAAGCACAAATTCAGAATTCCCGCGAGGTGCCTCACGGTAAGACGCACACTGGGTTAACCTCCGTTCGTATGCGATGTATGTTGCGACAAAAGCACTTGGGCGTTGAAAATGTTACCTGTAGGTGTGAAAAGTACAAGTGACGTCGTGTTCTTGACCTTTGATCCCAATTTCCGCGACTTATTGGTTGTCGCAGACATGTAACTCCTCGAAGACAATGCTTCTCTGATTGCCAGTCTTTGAGTTCCCACGTTTATATGATGGTTATTGTTCTTGTGTAAGAAATGTACTCTTCAGAATATTAATCTTGTAGCCCAAATATATATATATATATATATATAAAATCATCCATTAAATAATTCATTTTCAACCAAACAAATTTTCACAATTTGCAATTACATTAATAAAATATTTATTGAACGATTTCTAAATTATATAATGTAATTGCAAATTGTGAAAATTTGTTTGGTTGAAAATGATTTATTTAATGGATGATTATTTTATTTTAGTATTGTAATGTTGCGGGAAAAGTGGGAAATTTTCGACAAAAACTCTTATTGCCCGGCTCTGGTAACGAGAAAGTGGATGAATCTTGGCCCTATATGTAGTGAATTACTGCCTCGAACACGCTATGTAGACAGAATGCGTGTTTATTTGGTGTTTGATGCCGAAAAATTGATAGACGGCCAAACGCCTATCTGTCGGTTTGTAGTCAACAGTAGCGTCTCAACCAGGGTCTCAATGCTAGTGTTCAGCCCGGCTGTTCTGAAACGGGGTGGGAGAGGAACCATGCATATCATCATGCTCTAGCATGCACAACGCAGTGAAACACATGGGGATGATTTTGAATTTATTAGAAAATAATTCCTTACAATCTAAACTCAACTTATTTATACATTAAGGGGTGTTTACCACGCCAGAGCGCGTGCGCTAGGCACAATATTTTCGCCCGACATGTATGCAATAGATTCTCATGTTTGTCACACAACCTTTCGCGGGCCACAAGAAATGGCACCGCGGGCTGCTAGTTGGACAACCCTGGTCTAAACCAAACAGCCGATTTTCTCCAAAATTGATATTCCCAATCGATCTGGCCGATGTCGCGTCCCCTTGAATTCGAAACCTGTATTTTAAATGTGGGGGGCACTTTACTTGAAGTCTGTGATATCAAAATTTAAAAAAATAAAATGGCACCAAATTTTTTAATTGAATTTTGTTGTTGGATAGGGTAAAGGACACTTACGAGAACGGCGCAGGTAGTAATTTCCTCAAAATCCCTAATTTTTCGAAAATTGCCAATTTCTTTTTGTCGACATCTTCCTACGACTAGAATATTGAAGATATATTTTTTTTCTTAATGAAATCAGTTCTGAAATGACATATCTTAAAGAAAGGTCCCGTACAATTTTTCAAAAATTAGACTAGTTTTTGTGTAATTTTTGTGAAATATAAGCAATTTTTAATAATTTTAAACAATTTTTCTTTTACAAAATGCACTAAATTTTGTGTTAAGTTTTGACCGGAGATAGCTTAAAGAACGCTTAAGAGGATGATGGAGTTCCCATTTTCGTCAAAATTCCTGATTTTTCGAAAATTGCAAAAATTCAAAAAAACTTCGGCATCTACCTACGATTATAATTATGAAAATACATTTTTTCCGTAATGAAATGTGTTCATCAAAAACATATCTTCAAATAAGATCAGTTTCAATTTTTCGAAAATGAGTATTTTTGCGTCAAACATAAGCAAATTTTTAAATTTTAAATAATTATGTTCTTAATCTGCTTCAAATTTTTTCTTTAATTTTTATCAGGTATTAGTATAACAAATACGGCGAAAGAATGTGGTCCAAGAACGGCAGAGGCAGTCCTAGATACCAAAAAAATTATTAACAGCATTAATATAATTTACAGCAAAAAGTCTCTGTCTATCTGTGAACGCCACTAGCGCTTAAGTTAAACGTACTACTTTTTCCAAAATGGATATTCTTTGATCGATCTGGCTCTACTCGAGCCGCCGTGATCTTGAAAAACTTTCTTTAAAATTGGGGGGTTCTTTACATAAAGCTTCTGGGATATTTTCAAAATTCTCAAAAACTGCTCCAAATTGTTTCTTTAAAATACTTGTGCGAGTAGAGTAAAACTTGCTCATAAAGGTAGCATAGTTCCGATTTTCACGGTTAACTCTGAATTTGTTCTCCAGTTTTAGTTCTTTCAATAATGTCATGCACATTTTTTCGAAATTTTTAGTAGTTTTCGAGTAATATTGCATGAAATTTGTGAAATAAAATAAAAATTACAACAGGGATAAAGTGCTCGTCTTGAAATCCGGATCTCTCCGGTTCGATTCTCGGCCAGTCAATGTCTTTGTTGT